TACACAGACTTGAGATGCAAACCCTTCTCCTCCCCCCCCCGCCCCCGCTGTGGGGCTTGTGGGCCTAGGCACTGTCCCTCAGCTCTTCAGCTCAAGGCTAGAGTTCCACCACTTGAGCTACAGCACCACTTCTAGTTTTCTGAGTAGTTTATTGGAGGTAAGAGTCTCAACGGCCTTTCTTGCCCCGGCTGGCTTTGAACCAAGAGCCTCAGATCTCAGCCTCCTGAATAGCTAGGATTACAGGCGTGAGCCACCGGAGCCCAGCACGCAAACCCTTCTTTCAGTACCATAACCGCCTGTAATCTTCCAATAATTTGAAATGCTTGTGGGAAATACAGCATAATTCTCCATCTTATGAATTGACGCAGCCCTTGGGGCTATTACTAAGGCCGTTGTACATTTTCTTCCTGTAAAATAGAGAATCGGCAGTTGAGGTCCCCGTGACTGTGACAGTTTTGAAGCACTCAAAGAGGAACAGGGGCTGGGCACCCAACTAGACCGAGAGCTGCCTGCCTGCCCACCTCACACCTTGCAGGGGCCATTGACCTCAAGCTGCCCAAGCAACAATACAGAACGTGAGAGGCAGAGACCAAATAATACACTTCCACCCAGTGGGGGTGGGTGGAGCTTCTATCTTCCTCCCTTGGCACGGGGCACTGGAGTGGTGAAAGAACATAGCTGGGAACTAAAAATGAGGCTTGCCTACAGGAGCATGGGGGTGGGGGGTGGGGAACCACAGGGCACAAAGCAGTGAGGAGCAGCTGTTAGGTAAAGAACAGGCAGCTGACACATGCAGTTAACAGGCTCCCGAGATCTCTCTAACATGGTAGGATGGTTGTTTACAAAGACACAACACTGGCACAGATAACATAAACAGAAGATGAAATGACAAGAACACTGCACATGGAAGCCAACGAGAGTATGGACGGATGCTGGGAACCCATCTCCCTGGATACCAGCAGGTGGGCTTAGGAGCCAGCGGGTGGCCAAGGGCATCACAGGATGGTTTCAGCTACAAAGCACTCAGGGCACAGGACTGGCAATACCAGAACCCTAACGAAAGGCTGGGGCAGACCCGAAGCTGGACACTGAGTACCTGCACACGGAGCACAGGTGCCAGGCTCCCTCACGCACACATCAGACCGGATTCTAAATCCCCTTTCTGAGGAGGAGAGGACGGAAGAGGAGGAGCAGGGCTGAGTGGAGGCTGTGAGATGCCCTAGGCTTCATGCTCCAAGATGACGATGCCCTGCATCGGGTCTCAGTGAATCCACAGGGGCCAAGCAGGTGCTAGAACCCTGTTGTCAGCACTGGCCAGAGGTCCCCAAAGTCCAACTCTCCTAAGAAAGAGCTGACAGTGGGCTTCCAAGACAGGACAAGCCCATCATCACAGAAGACAGAGCTTGGACAGGCCATGCCCCCAGAAAGAGGAGAAAACACACCCCAAAGTGGCACACATGAACATAAGGGAGGCACAAAAATGTCCTGAGCAGTCAAACAGGCAACAGACCATGAGCTCAGAACAGACCACGAGCTGTGAGCTGGCTAGTCAGACTGCAGCCTCAACTATACTGAAGATCAAACATACATCCAACTGTGCCGAGCCCTACCCTTCAGAAGGTATGGAGAGGTGAACAGAGGGCTGTGGCTCTCGCTCTGAGCCCTTCTCTGGGTCTCTCCTGGGTGTCCTGCGCCCCTTGCCACTGGGCCCCCCTTGCTGCCTTGTGCCCCTTCCCTTGGGCCTTCCCCTGGGTGCCCTGAGCCCTTACTAGCTCTGCTCACTAACAAACTTCTCACTTCAGGCATGTCTGTTAGGTCTCCTGTGCCAAGTGTTATTTCACCTGAGACAATCACTTCTGGAGACATCCACACAAAGACTCTGGGCTGGGGCAGAGGACTTGCGAGGGATGGCTAAGGCCCTGGGTTCCCCAGCATAGCAACACCATTCTAAGTTAAAGTAAAAATTTAATTATAAACCAGCTCTATCATAAAAGGCAGACAATACATATCCATTTGCTACTATTAGATGTAGCAGATATGATGTTACTATTATCCTGTTTGGGCATCACACTGCCTTATAGTATTGAAAAAAAAATAGTGGGCTGCTAGGGTTGAGGGATGCCTCTCCACAGCTCCTGGAGGGCCAGTGTGGGCATGGGGGCTGGCAGTGGCACGACCTCAAAACTAATGCTGTCTCCAGTGCCTGTGGCCACCTGCTGAGTGAGAAAGTAACCTCACAGTCCAGCGCCAGGCAGGAGACGAGGCGTGGGAAATTGAGGTCAGAGGACAAGGCAGAAGAATGATCCACTGGGAGGCTAAGTTCAGGCACAGAATCACATATCTAATGGCAGCACACATCCTAGGCAAGCACACACCAGCCCTAAAACTTCAAAACAATAGGAAAAAAACACAGAAATACAAAAAAGTCTTATGCGCATATAAGTGGGAATTTGAAGAAATCAGAATTAATCCAAAGCCAATAGCATTTTCCCCTACTACAGACTTTTTTTGTTGGTCGTGGTGCTTGAACTCTGGGCTTGGGCGCTGTCCCTGTGCTCTTCAGCTCAAGGCGAGCGCTCTACCACTTGAGCTACAGCGCCACTTCCAGTTTTCTAGTGGTTTATTGGAGATAGGAGTCTCACAGTCTTTCCTGCCCGAGCTAGCTTTGAACCGCGATCCTCAGATCTCAGCCTCCTGAGTAGCGAGGATTACAGGCATGAGCCACCAATGCCCGGCAGACCTTTTTTTAAGGGATATTTTTGTCAAAGTTGCTGCTCAGGTTTTACCTCAAGCTGACATACAAACAGGTGATACAGATGATGTTTATTTCCAGTAAAAATTTACTAGGACTGAGAACATTTAAAAAGAACCATTATTGGGAAAAACTGCTTTGAGTACACTACTGCTCACAATGAAGAATGGTCAAGGACAGACCAGATCAGCAATGGAGGCCTGAGTATGTCTCCTCTCCTATTTAAGTACACAAAAAGTGTGTTTCTTCAAATGACTAATTCAAGAGTCATTCCTCATGAAGTTGTGTGCATAAGGGTGCATTTGTGTGTACAGGTATGCATGTATGTGTGCGCATACATATTTTCAAGCCTTCTAGTGTCAAGGGATAGTTAAGGTTAAATGCAACTGTCAGGAAATGGACAAGAACAGATTGCGACTGGCATAAAAAAATGACATCTAAAAAATGTTTCTGCTCCCATCCAAGAAAAATGTAGCTTCACAGAACTTTGCTATCAGTTTGCACAACCTGAGACTGGTATTTCCTTGAGGCATTTTGTAGCAGGTGGAAATGAACCAAGTGCCATTTGAAATGTGTCCTCTTAGGCAAAGTCTGCAGCGAGGCTCCACAGGGGTGCCGCACACCCAATCCTGGCTACAAGGCAGGTGAATGAGGAGCACCCCTCCCTCCTCCTTCCGACACGCCACCATGCGCTGAGTGGTTCCTCCCAGAGACAGGGAATGAGGGTAACATTTGGTTCTTGAGCTGCCAGGCTACAGCGGCATCCCACACCATCTTCAGTACGAGTCAACCAGTCAACGTGACATTAAGTGACAACATTTGTCAGAGAACTACGAAAAAGCTGACACATATATTTGATCTCAGTGAGAACTCTGCAGGCAGGCATGATCAGCTCTGAGTGAGAAAGGAGAAGTCAAACCTGAGCTATCCAACAGCCCACTTGACTCGCACAGCCAAAGCAGAAGAGCCAGGATGCAGCTCTACTCTGGCTACCATGGAAGGCCACAGCCATCCTCGCACAAGGCTGCAGATTGGGTCTCAAAGAGCAGTATGCACAAAAACGGAATGTGAAGCCTATCTTTTCTGGTTCACTGCAGAGTAGTCGCGGTTACCACCTCTTCACAGCCCATCAAGCCCTCTGCAAAGCCCTCTTCAGTCTACTGGCAAGCACCAGGAAGCCATCTGCAGATGCCCAAGCTACGCAAAGATTCACTGTAAACAGACAACACAGGCAAACTGAACCTAGCAAAAAGTAAAGTCAGAACAGCTTACTTGAGCCAATATCTGTTAATGGAGCATGTTCATGTAGTAGTTAAGAGTTCCCCGACATGGGCTCACGCCCTGGGGTAAGAGGCAACTGGTTGCTTGCTGGTGGGGATGCAAAGGTCGATTCCAGGCCCCAAGACATTGCTAGAGCTCAATCAAAAATGATTGAGCCGACATCAGAGAATCACTGGGTCAAGACCTCTGTCTTTGAAACATTCAGCTGGGCTTTCCACTTCTTTCCAAGGGAGATGGAGAGGGCAAGGCCAGCAGCAGTCTGGGGTTGAGAGGAAGCAGGCAAGTGCACAGGGTGGAGAGGGAAAATGGGACAAACTTGAAGGGGCAAAAGGGCAGAGACGAAGCCGTTAGCCAGGGTGATGGAAGGGCACAGCATGTACATGATGGAAGCAGTGCTTCGCTTGGCTCTACACTCAGAATGAAGCCTGGAATGTTCTACAGGAAAAGAGGAGTTTTACAGAGATCTAAAAGGGAAAAGGATTGAATTGCCTAAAGATTTGGGAAGTATAGTGCTTTGAATCTAATATTTAGGAATATCATTTACATAATGAGACCTATGACAGTCAATATTGCTGCTAAAAAACAGAAAGGTGCTAGAAGACAGTCTCTTAGAGTCATTAGTACCTGGGCAGACTTAGAGAGCCAGAGACATCTCATTGCCTTGCGGCTGGTCTCCGTAACTCAGCCGCACCCCTGTGTAAGTCCTAGTCCCTGCTGCGCCCACTCAAACCCAGCACTCTTTCCCACAAGCCTTCATTGGACCAAGGTCTGGCTACTCCTAAAATAAGCAGCTGATTCCTCTAGAAGCACACCCTCTAGAGAATTCCTTTGCCACTGTCCATTTCATCTTCAAAAGGAAGGCCACACTTTTGACTCCAGCAAGAAAGGCACCCAAACACAAGAAACCTGACAACCACGCCTTGCCTGGGCTCCCATACCTCAAAGCACAGGAGGACAGTGTACTTACCCGAGCTGGGCATGTGGTTCACTCGGGCAGGGTTCAGCAGCTCCAGTGGCTGGTCTCGGCCAGAAAGTCCATCTGAGGAATAGAGAAAGCACGAGATTCAGAAAGGGAGTGCGGTTCAGCCAGAATGTGGCACACTGGTGTCTGAGAAAAGCTCAGCACACGCAGGAAAACGGTACCTGCAGGAAGGCTCATGCCCTTCTTAAAGGAAGACAGTTTTAATTCCATCACAGTTTATTTTATTATTAAAAAATGAAAGTGCCTTTGTAGAATAACCAGAACAGTCCCATTTGAGATATGGTGAACTCTAATCCTGGCTTAAGGGCACCTGGGCTAGCTATTCTGGCTTACTACTGTTTACCACCATTCAGGTTTATCAGAAGTGGGCTTTTCTGTAGAGAGCACAGCATTAAGATAATAAAAACAGAAGAGCCACAAAGAGTCTGGAAGGCTGTAGGAATGCCCAGGGCATTGATCCAAAGCAGCTATGTACATGAGCGGGGCAGGATAGAGAATAGATGATGCTGGTAACAATCGAAGAACGATGCACTTTGAAAACAACAACAACAAAAACCACAAAAATGCCTCACCAGGTTCTCACCCGGTAAAGAACTACAGAACAATTTTAGAAATAGCTTTTCGATTTTATTTAGTTAGGAACCATCTACTCTACCTTTTCTAACTGGCTTCCACGATGAGACTAGAACCTACCTACCACAGAAGTCTGGCACAGGCTGGATTCAGAGTCCCCAAGACCTTCTGTGTTCTCCCAAATAGGAAAGAAAGGGCACTGGCAAGACTGCTAGGAATCACACATTTGCTCTCAGTGCCAGCATTGCAGGTGGCGCATGACTTATGGAGGGGAGAAGGCAGTGGCTTCTTGGGGCAGCCACATAGTGTTACAGATGGAATTTCAAAGCATGACACAAACAACTTGTAAGGAAATGCAGTGTCTTAACAAAGCCACCCCCTGTTCAGCTTTGGAGATGAGTTCAAACTCTGAGGGCAGGAGCCCCGCTCTTCCCAAGGAAGAGGCCGGCCGCAGTGTGAGGAGGCAGGGAGGCTGCAAACCAAACACAGCTGTTGGCCCACCGCCTCCCCAACAAGGAATCCCCCTCCCACCTTTCTAGTAACTGTAGGGTTCCAAAACAGAAACAGAAACTGGGCATGTCTGGACAGGTCAGCGCAGGAGCCCACAGGACAGCCCGGTGTACAGAGCTGCTTCTTGAGGCTGTTCTCTCTCCAGACACCACATCCCAAGGTGAGTAAAACTTCAATGGTGCTGAGCAGTGCAACTGCCTCTGCACTGAAATCTGAGGCTGAGGAGTGGGGACGGGGAGGGGGGTCCAGGGCTTCATGCTGCTCAACCAGCAGAGAGCGTGCCGGGGCCCCTTTTTCCATAGAGCCCCTACCTTGAGTAGGTTCCCCACCTGTCCACACTACAGCCTCTGGGTTGAAACACACTGCATGGCCTGCCACGCCTGTCCGCAGATGGTCTTTTCATCAGCTCAGGAGTTGGGAGACAAGATGCACAGCCAGACGAGAAGGTGGAGAAGCAGGGCTCTCTTCAAGAGCAGAGACCCCAGCTTAAAATAAGATGCACTATGCCGTGTGTCGGTGGCTCCCACTTGTCATCCTAGCTACTCAGGAGGCTGAGATCTGAGGATAGCGGTTTAAAGCCACCCTTGGGCAGGAAAGTCTGTGAGACTCTTACCTCCAATAAACCACCAGGAAACCAGAAGTGGCACTGTGGCTCAAGCTGTAGAGCACTTGCCTTGAGCTGAAGAGCACAGGGACAGCACCCAAGCCCAGAGTACAAGCCCCACAACTGACACACACACACGCACTGAGTTGTGTGTTACCCCTGGAGCAGCCGGTAAACAAACAGCACATTTGGATCCAGAGTCCTTGTGTGTGCACAAGGGGATGCTTCCAACCAGACTCTTATTAGCTGTCTCAAGCCCAGCAACAGAACCTTCAACTCGCCTTGAAACCACAGGCAGGGACGCAGTCTCCCTGGGGTCCTGGAGTAGGCCTTAACAGCATCACTCATGTTCATGTTAAGCCTTCACTGATTTCAGTGTTTGTGTTTGAGATGTTGGGAGCTGGAGAAGTTCAAATCTTGGATTGACAGCTGTTGAACCCTTCGCTGGTACCCTAGCTGCAAAGGACTACCAGCCAAACAGCTTGCCAGCCCACCCTCTTCCTGGCTCTAGCTACTTTGAACACTCTATGGGCACCTTGAGGAAGCTAAGGACAGGAGCAGCTGCTGAGACAGGAAAGGCACCGCTCAGCAGATAAACCCTGGTGAGCTCTACATGAGCCTATAGCTAGCTATCTCCACCAAGCCAGAGGGGGAGAAGTTCCTCTGGTGATGCTGCCCTGCTTATGCCTGCACCTCGTGCCCATCTGCACCTCGTGCACACACCCCAGGCCTGATGCCTGCATGCAGACTTGTGCGTGAGCTATGAAGTGGGCATCTTGTCATTTCGTTAAAGCAGTCAGATGCCCCTTACACTGACAGGAAGTCTGATCTTCATCACCTGCCAGCAAGCCACACCTCAGCTCCCTGGCCAGCCTGCAGTCCCTGGTGCCTCGCATCACACCGTGGCCATCACCGTAACTGTGTGGCATCAGTCAGCAAGACAGGACACCGACTTGCTTTACAATCGTCTAGGTCCTCTGCTCTACTGCATGAATCTTAAAACCAACTCACCAAGTTCTACCAAAGAGGAAAGAGGGAAAAAAGAGGAACCCTTGACATCTGGGATGGGAATACTGAGCCTTCTATGACCACAAGCCTGGGGCATTACCTTATTCAGGGCCTCTATTTTAATTCACACAATTTCTGTTTTGCTAATACGCAGAAATACAATCAATGTTTATACATTCGTCTCCAGATGTTATAAAGATCACATTTATTCTTATCGATAGTTACTTGGAAATGTTCTACACAGACTCATGCCCTCTGTAACAGGAAGCCTGGTTTCCTTCTTCTCAGGCCTCCAGCCTCTTCCTTCTTTCCTTACATCATCGCAGAGGCTGAGGCAGACAGCACATCGCCGAACAAAAATGTTATGAGCCAGAGGTTGCCCTGCTTTGTTTCTGATTGTAACTTGCAGGGAATGCTTCAGTGACCTGCCAGGATGTACAACACCTGCTACAAGGGTTCAGTGAACCATCAAGGGTAGGAAAGCTCCCTCTAGTCCTGGTTTGCCAAAATATATATTTAAATCACATGTTTGCGCAATTGTATTAAGATTTTCTTTATCAATTCAGGCTACTAAATTTATCCGTTTCCACCTGAGAGAATGGCAAAATCTCTTTTATTGTGTCTAGCCAACACTGCATTTCTATGACACATGGAGTTGGTCAGGTCCAGTGAGTTTGGGGGACAGAAAGTAGGAAAGCTAAGAGATAGACAGAGCCAGGCCGAAGGCACTTTCTACTTCAAAGTCTAAGGACTGAAGAACTTGGCCTAACGTTTCAGCTTTATATAAGAATTATAAATGGAGAATCAATAAATATTTTGGTAGGAGTCTGGCACACAGAAAACTGAAATGGGTGTAGCTACTAATAGTGCCTCATTGTGCTAATGGGACTGTTTTCAGATATGCAGTGAATGGAACCTTACCAGCACTTGTCAGCAAGTAATCATTTAAAGTCTTCATGACAGCCCATCTTCCTATCCATCTTAATTTTTAAACAAACTTTACCCCATTACGAGTTCACAGAGGAACTGGAACTGGCCAGCCTCTTGCATACTCTGTCCTGTGTTGCTGTTGGCACTGTGTGGTCCTCATTCTGGATGCTCAGATGTGGCTCATCCCGCTCACGTTTCCATCCAGATCCCCAGGCTGAGTCATCACAGCTCTTTGGGCTCCTCTTGGCTACCAGGGCCCTTCGGAAAGGCAGCTGTGCGTTTGCAGCCAGGCTCTGCCCTCATAACCCTGGGCTCCAGAGGCTGCATTTCCCATTCTGCTCTGTGCATTTCTGGAGCAGGGGTAACAGATCTCCCTGACTATGTGGGTGGCAGGCAGCTTGTCTGGTGATGAGAATGAAGGCATCCCAGCCACTAATTTGTTGTGAAGTCAAATCTAATAAGAGAACTTGCTAGAACTGCATACAAAGGAGAAGGCCTCACCCTTGCAATGTGTCATTTTGTCATTTATGTCCACCTAACTCCCTGCTCCTCGTCAAGGAGGAGGCTCTGGGCAATGGGAGGTCACTGCCCTCTAGACACAGGCCTCCCACAGGCGGGACCAGAGGCACAGCCAGGACCCCTGAGATTTGAGAGAAGGAGGGCAGGGGTGGTTTTGAGATGCAGAGGTAGAAAGCTAGCTGAAGCTGAACCAAGCCTGGCTCAATGAGCAAGGGCAGAATGCCTGATACAGGGACACATGTCGTGTGTGTGTGTGTGTGTGTGTGTGTGTGTGTGTGTAAACATTTTTAATAGGTTAAGTTTATTTATAGCAAATGACTTGTTTTTGCTTGAGTGAAGGCAGAGCAGACGCACGAGGCTAGCTTCCTGCCTGCATGGTGGAAGGAGGACTCCTTCCTGCTGGACAGCCCTGCTATGCACACATAGTCTCAGCCGTGCCGGCAAGCCTGGGCCACAGCTCTACAGAGAGCTTTTCTCCCTGACCCCTGACTCCAGTCCTGGCCTGCCTGGTCAGGGCATCCTCAGGAGCTCGTGTGGAGGAGAGCGTGGCGACCCTGGAATGTCTCTCTGCATTCAGTCATGCAGCCCCCCCCCCCGGCCTCAGTGAAACCAACATCCCCAGATCCTCATCTGTGTGAGCACTGGTAAATGTGGTTGGCACTTTAATGTCCTTGTTTGGTTAACCTACAAAAGGAACTCAGCACACTGCAATGTATGATTGAGAGACAAAACCAAGCTGAGTAGTCAGCCCAGCACCCCGAATCCCCCAGCAGGACCTGGATCCTGCCCACCCACTTCTGCTGTGGGGCCTGACCCCCTACACCCCTCTATCTGCAGCCCTCTGCCAAACAGTATGTTGAGCCCAGCTGACCAGGCGCCTGCTCAAACTCTCATTAAGCCAAGCCCACCAGCC